GATTAGAAAGCCTAGATCCAAGCATTAGGGTTTTGCATGCGCACATAGGAAAGTTCTTATGGCTAAAACCCATCAGGTATCCTGGTATATAAGATGATTTTATGTTAGTGACCTGTTAGGTCGGTATCCTGGTATATAGGATGATGTGATGTTAGTGACCTATTAGGTCGATATCCTGATATATAGGATGATGCTATAATTAGTGATCTGCTAGATTGGTTTGAATGTTTGTGCATGCTAGCTAGCATATGATATTTATGTGATTGATTATTTGATTGCGGGTGGGTTGAGGTGGTCTTGCTTCGTGCTCTAGACCAACAAACCCAGGGCGGTCCGGATAAACCGCAGACCCATCAAGGCGTATTAGTCAGGCCAAAGGCTCGAAGAACGATCCAAATAGGCTGAAAGCCCAGGAGGGTAGACCAGACATGTTGAAGGTTCTGAGAGTGGGCCAGATAGACTGAAAGTCCGGTAAGGGCGATCTAGTCATATTGAAGACTCTATATGCATATTGTTTGTTATGATATTGTTTTGGTTTGTATGGCGTTGGTATTTTGGGGGAACTACTAAGCTTCGGGCTTACAGTTTTGGATTTTGTTTTCAGGTACTTCGGATGATCGCAGGAAGTCGAAGGCTTGATCGTGTACCTCCTCGCATTTTATGATTCTGATTTATGGGATACTCTGATATAAAACTATTTTAAAAACATTTTATAACAAATAATGGTTTTTGGATGCTTGAAAAAATTTAAAATTTTCATGTGTAACACCCATTCAAGCCAATTTAAAACTTTTCAAAACATTTAAAACCAACAATTATTAGTGAGTTCCCTCAAAACATTTAAAATAGTCTAATATCAGAATTTTCCTAAAAGCATAAATAAAACATGAGGAGTTATACGATCACGTGTTCGCCTTGTCGCGATTCCCTGATATACCTGAAATAATAAACTGAAACTGTAAGCCCGAAAGCTTAGTGAGTTCCCCCAAAATACCAACCTCATATAACCATAATTGTATCATATCAACAAATACGGAACAACATGCATAATAAGTCTTCAGTCTGACCGGACCGTCTCGCAGACCTTCAATCTTTCTGGACCGCTCTCCGAGCCTTCGGCACGTCTGGACTGCCTCTCAGGGTCTTCAGCCTATCCGGACTGCTCGTCGGGCCTTCGGTCTGACTTCCATATCATTTTGGGTTTGTAGTCAATCCAATTCGCCCTGGGTATGTTGGCCTTCAGCACAAAACATGACCACCTCAACCCATCCCAAATTAAAACAAACATGTGCACATAACTATCATACATTATCATACATATATAACAATCAAACCGGTCTAACAGATCATATAGCATAACAATACCTTATAACCAAGACACCAACCTAACCAGGTCACTAAGCATAAACATAACCTCATCCTAACTACCAGGATGCAAACCAATAAACATATCATGTCATAATTGGATACAATCCATAAAGGGCCAACCTTGGTGCCTTAGACCCTATTGATATAGTGAGAATAACTCATCTCGCAAGTAGTGCTGAAATACTGTAAATCTCTGACCGTTGTCTCGCCGAGAATCCCAAACTATTACACAATAAACACTAATTTAATACCCAAAATAACCTTCTCGACTGAAGGTCCACACCGTTCATTAAGTCCATCCTCTTTATTGGGCCAAGGCCGAAATACCCGGTCCTTGACTTGAAAGTCCATATACAAAGCCCATTATCGGCCCAATTTACTAAATTAGGCCCAAATTCCTAATTGGGCCTTACCTCATGATCCACTATCACCACTGGGACCAAAATATCTTATTTACACAAGTCCAACAAAAGGCCCAAATCCATTAAGTCCATAAACAACCCAAAATCCGAAGCCCAATTGACAAAGGCCCAACAGAGGACGTACGTGGGGCGTACTCCTCTGGTAAACGGGGCGTACTTGTCCAGATGTTGACCACCATCGGGGTGGTTGACCCAGTATGCTGGGCATACTAGATTTACGTTGGGCTTACTCAATAATTTGCCAAAACCTTTTTAAGTGCTTAATAGCTTAAGCACTTAAGCCCAAACTTCAGATCCATAAAGTCATGAACTGTATCACTTTGGACGTCCATAAAGTTCTTAATGCTTGGTCTTAATCCGTTAAGACCTTATTTCTCCATGCATGGGACACGTACAACTAATGGGACCTCATTTTTATCACTCAAGGTCCCTTCAAGAGTCTAGAAGGACAACCCATTTCGTCCAAATCACATCATGCACCACCGTATGGATTTTGGGACAAGAAATGCTTCTATTAAAGTAAAATGGTGAGATCTATGCATATATGCATAAAGTTTGGAACTTTATACCTTCTATAGCTTCTCGAGCACAAGCTAACTTCAGATCTATAAGCTTGATCTTCTTCTCCAACTCTTTGATGCAATACCTTCCTCTTAAAGCACTCAAGAACACACCAAATAAGCTTAAACACATAAAGGAAAGGATATGGTTTGGGGAAGACGAGTATAATATGTGGAGGCTAAGGTAAAGGAGGTTTTGGTGCTAATAATGTTACTTATATAGGCCCCAAACCCTAAATATTAGGGTTTCACCCTGATATTAGTATGCACAGTGTACATAAGTGTACGCCCAACGTACTAAGGCGGACCTTAGTAGGCTTAGCGTACTCTTATGTACGCACGTCATACTCCCTGTTGGCCCAAGTTTTCAAACTTGGCCCTTAAACTTATCGTGGCTCTTCACTTCCAACCCCAAGGACTATAAATGACAAGGTAATGATATAAGAGGGTTCGGAAATACCTGCCAAATCTCGGGATGTTACAATTCTCCCCTGCTTGACTTAGACTTCGTCCTCGAAGTCTGTTGCGTCAGATAGATACGGGTAATGCTCCTGCATCTCGGACTCGGGCTCCCACGTCCACTTGGATCCCCTCCGATGCTCCCACTATACCTTCACCAATGGTATCTCCTTGTTTCGTAGAACCTTCATTTTCCTCTCTAGTATGGCCACAGGCCTCTTTACGTAATTCAGGTGCTCATCGACCTGAATATCATCTAACGACACCACTGCCTCCTAATCCATAATGCACTTTTGCAATTGCGAAACATGGAAAGTGTTATGGATCCGGCTAAGCTCCTCTGGTAGCTCTACCATGTATGCCATTTTGCCAACCCTAGCAACAATCCTGAACGGTCCAATGTAGTAGGGACCCAATTTCCCCCTCTTCCTGAAATGGATCACATCCTTCCAGGGTGAGACCTTCAGGAGTACCATATCACCCACCTGGAACTCTAACTCAGATCGGCGTATGTCGGCGTATCTTTTCTGCCGACTCTGAGCGGTCTGCAATTCCATCACCCTGTGTTCGACCTCACCCCCAACAAGTCGGGGTGCGCCATCTCCACCCATACAACAGCTCGAAAGGCGGGACGCCAATGCTGGAATGATAGTTGTTGTTGTAGGAGAACTCTGCAAGGGGTAGGTATGAATCCCAACTCCCACCGAAGTCAATAACACACGCCCTCAACATATCCTCGAGGGTCTGGATGGTCCACTCACTCTGACCGTTGGTCTGCGGATGAAATGTTGTACTAAAATGCAGTCGTGTGCCCAGTTCCTCGTGGAACTTCTGCCAAAAATGGGAGGTGAATCTAACATCTCGGTCAGAAACAATGGAGACCGAAATCCCATGGTGAGCGACATAGACATAACTCGGAACGACATAGACGGTTAAAAGAGATTATAGTACCAACAACGCCTAATCCAACAAGACATAACTCGGAACGACATAGACGGTTAAAAGAGATTTTTTCTGGAGAAATAGGTGCATTAGTTGGAACTATTGTACATGCGGTTGTACCCGTTGATCAACAAACTCGTTATAGGGAAGAGGAAAATGATAATGTTTTCAAAATGTAATAGGAATTTGTGATTTTGATATGATATTCACCTTTGTTTGGGCTGGATGGGAGGGTATAACACATGATTCAAGAGTTTTGAAAGAAGTTGCATTCAATCTGACTTCTGGATTTCCATTTCCTCCATTAGGTTTGTAATTTCCATATAACTTTTATTATCTATCTTCTTTATATAATACGTGTTACACTCATTTACAGATAAATATTACATTTGTGACGCCACATATATAAACACTTGCGGGTTTATGTCTCCATACCACAATACTAGGTACTGGTTAGTTGATTTTCGAAGAGGCAGACCTTTAACTAGAGAAGAAAGTTTCAATTATGCTCATACACAACTTAGAAATGTTATTGAGCGTGCTTATGGTGTATTGAAGGTGAGATTCCTAATCTTAAAACAAATGACTCCTTATCATTTTACAATGCAAAGAGACATAGTCATTGCTTGTGTTGCGGTCCATAATTTTATAAGAAAATACAATATAGAAGATGACATGTTTACAAATTTTGAGAACACTATGGTTACTCCTGACGTCCAAGGTGGATGAATTGATAGAGAAAACATATAAGATATAGAATGAGGTCCAAAAACCGTTTAATATATGCGTGTTTTACGAGATTAGATTGCAAATCAACTTCTTTCACATACTTTACATTAAATTATTATGTTATTTTAAATTTCATTATGTTTTTATTTGGATATTAAATGATTTATGTTTAATTTACGTTTTGTATGCCAATTTTTACTTGGATTTTAAATGACTTATGTGTAATTTATATTTTGTATGACAATTTGTATGTTTTTATAATTATTCAACAACTTCATCCATCACTATATAGAACAACATAGTAAAATTGTTATTTTTCATCGGTCAGCACATTCAATCAGATGTACAATAAAATAATATGATTTCTTACTTAATCAGGATTTCTGATATAAACAGACCTTTTCCAAACAGTAATTTCTGAATCAGCAACTATCAAACTGGATTAAACATATTTTTGAAACCTTCCCGCGATGTGTTTAATTTACCCTAAGTAAAATAAAAGAGTCTTCATGAAATAATAATGAAAAACAAAGAGGCATTTATTCCAAAAGAAACGGTTAAGCGTTTGGCGACAATTCACATGACGACGTATAGATAAGTGGTGTATATGTGGATGCCAAAACTTGGCTCGATGTGATTACACGTATATATTATTAGGTAATTTTGACAGAATTGCGCACTTATAAAGCCAAAACCTTCCAATTACTGATCTTTTGCTGTGCGAGTTTCACAAATTCATCAGCAAAATGTAAGCGTTGCAGTATATCTTTCTTGCTTCTTGAATGCATACACGATGTTTGATGATATGTCTGACTGATTGAACATGGTATTTCGTGTTTGGTTAACATATGTCAGGGAGAATGGGTTGAATCTGAAGGCAATGGATGCAGAGCAACTAAGAGAACATGGCCACAAGATGGTTGATTTCATTGCCGATTACTACAAAACTATCGAGAGTTTCCCTGTTCTCAGCCAAGTTGAGGTACGCCGTTATTCTCACCTTTTCCGTTCATAGTAGCACGCACTTTGCTAGTATTTAGGAACCTGTTAATTTATCAGCCAGGATATCTGCGGAAGCTACTTCCCGATTCTGCACCAGTACAGCCCGAATCCTTGCAAGCAGTTCTTGAAGGTGTCGCATCTTCATCAATTGCTTTGCATTATGTTACCTCTACTGAAAAACACTAATACGTTTTCAATTTCATTGGAATCAGATGTTCAAACGAAGATATTGCCAGGGGTCACCCACTGGCAAAGTCCGGACTATTTTGCCTACTTCCCCTCTAATAGCAGTGTCGCAGGGTTTCTAGGAGAAATGCTGAGTGCAGGAATTAACATGGTAGGGTTTAGTTGGATAACTTCTCCAGCTGCTACAGAACTTGAAATGATCGTTCTCGATTGGCTTGCTAATATGCTCAAACTCCCTGATGATTTCCTTTCCACAGGTAAACCTAATTTTCTTTCAATTTTCCAGTTGCAACTAAAATATATGGGCAGAATTATGAAGAAATAGGTTGCAAATTGTGTTTGTTATAGGGGCAGGTGGTGGTGTAATTCAGGGGACAGCAAGTGAAGCTCTTCTTGTTGTGCTTCTGGCTGCTCGTGATAAAGTTTTAAGAGAGGTTGGTAAGGATGCACTTGGAAGGCTTGTGGTTTATGCTTCTGATCAAACTCATTCTTCTTTACAGAAAGCATGCCAAGTAAGTATGTCTGTTTCATTTCATCATTCCTTATTCATAATTATTAATCACCTTTTAAGTGTATCTTTTTCTATTTAAGTGAATATATTTCCTATATATGGTAGATAGCAGGAATCCACCCGGAGAATTGTAAGCTGATAAGAACAGAAATCTGCAATGAGTATGCTCTTTCTCCCGAATCACTCACTGATGCAATCTCACATGACCTTGCCTCTGGTTTAATACCTCTTTTCCTTTGTGCGACAGTAAGACTTGTATATGTTTTAATTTGTTTTGTTGCTGCTAGTTTTCTGATGTAGTTTTTCAGCTAAAAATGTCATGCTCTTCAGTCGATTTGTTGCTAGTTTTTAGATATATGCATTAAGCTGTTTATGTGTGTATGTGATCCTACATTATTTTTGAATATCGGAATTCTATATGATTTTTTATAGTAGTAAAATAATTGACGGAAAGCTCCATGTAACTTGAAGTTTTCTAAATGCACTGGCTTATGTACACAGGTAGGCACTACATCATCTACAGCTGTGGATCCTTTGCTAGCACTTGGAAAGATTACCAAGGTAAAATATATATTTTCTTCTCCTTTTTATGTTTTAGGCTTAAATGTGTATTCATACGACAATGTTTCACTTTTTTCCTGTTTTATGCAACAAAGTGGGTTATTTTTTTTTTTTATACGATGCAGTATTTTATCAGTTGCTTGTTTAACTGGTTGAGACATGGTTACATTCATGTAACTTGGGACCTAATGCTTTTTTCCATGTCTTCCTCTATTAAATCTTTCTTTTGGATTAAGTAACAAAGCAACACCCATAAACATCTGAACAGATTAGGCATTGTCCCCATTAAGTTCATCATCTAGCTTGGTATTCATTTGCTTTTTTGTATATAAATTATAAAGTATAAACTTGTTTATGCATTAATTGTTTGACAGAGGTATGGAATATGGTTTCATGTGGATGCTGCTTATGCTGGAAGTGCTTGTATTTGCCCAGAATATCGGCATCATTTGAATGGAATTGAAGAAGCCGACTCATTTAACATGAATTGCCATAAATGGTTCTTAACAAACTTTGATTGTTCAGCACTATGGATAAAGGTAAAGGTTTGGACTTTGGACGTTATTCTCTATATACATGCTTTGGTACCTCCTACTATTAGTCAGAGGTCAGAATATATATAACACCACACCTACAAGTATCAAATATCTAAAATACCCCTTAGTATTTTGACTCTTTTCATAGATAAAAGCTATACTCTATTTAATTCAGCTCTTGATTATTATCCTTTCTTGTCTAAACAGGACAGACATGCTCTCATTCAATCTTTGTCAACAAATCCTGAGTTTTTAAAGAACAAAGTAAGCACAGCCACTGAAATGGTTTAATTAGTGACATGGTAATAAATTCATAACCAGTTTTTGGAAGAAAAAAAAAACATACTAATTATGCTTCTGATTTTTCTCAACATAATCAATCAGGCTTCCCAAGGTGGTACAGTTGTCGATTACAAAGATTGGCAAATTCCTCTTGGACGCAGATTCAGGTATGATGTCGAGGGTAAAAGAGTAAATTTAACTCGGATCTAAGTCGCTCTAAAAACGCGCATGCATCTTTGGTTCCGAGATTTCTTCAAAATCGTTTATTTTTTTGTGTGAATATAATTTGTGTGTTATTTGGAAATTGCAAGATCATTGAAATTGTGGATGGTGTTACGGCTTTATGGGGTTGAAAATCTTCAGTCTTATATACGAAACCATATCGACTTGGCTAAGCATTTTGAACATCTTGTTTCTCAAGATCCACGCTTTGAGGTAAGTGTAAATCACTTGGATTTCCTTTGGGTGAAATACACACACAGAAACCATTTCTCCATATTAATTACCCAGTTTTAGAAATGGAAGTTATTGGTACACAACTTAAACATATTTTTTATGATGATGATGATTATTATTAATTATAATAATAATTGAGTGGATGAAAAAACATTTCACATTTTTCAGATGGTTGCCACGAGGACATTTTCGTTAGTTTGCTTTCGTGTTGTACCTGTCAACAAAAATGAAGATTATGTGAACAAAGTCAACCGTGAACTTTTGGATGCTGTCAACTCATCCGGAAAGATCTTCATCTCTCATACGGTATGTCATTATGCCTGCCATGCTGTTTAAATTGTTTTATTTAACTTAACAATAGTTTTTTGAATCATTTTTGATTGTTTATGAAATTGAAAATTGAGGAATTTGATTTTGCAGGCTCTATCGGGAAAATATGTCTTACGATTCGTGGTAGGAGCTCCATTGACGGAAGAGAGGCATGTTATTGAAGCTTGGAAGCTTTTTCAAGAAACAGCCTCTACTCTTTTAAAGAATTAATTCATTCCTAATCCAAAAGAAATAAATATTATTTCTTCAAAACATTTTGATTTCTGCTAGCAATTGCTTATGAGGAAATATGTTCATGAACTTATTGATAAGTGTAATTTGTTCTCATATATAAATCATATGGAAGTTTATTTTTTCACACATATTTTTCTGATTCTATACATCAATTTATTTTAAAAATATTCTGCAAAACCAAAAATCGCATGACTTAATATTTGATTGAATGTGTTGTTTAAAAATATCGACTCTACTGGGGATCGAACCCAGAATCTCTGGTTCCGTAGACCAGCGCCTTATCCATTGGGCCACAGAGTCCTTGTTGTTTACCTCTTATCAAGTATTTTAATCTAATACAAAAACGGAGGAATAATCTTTTCCTACATCTATTTTTATTGATAGAATCATATGATAATTGTCATAATACAATGCTTTATTATTTATTTGTGGTTTAGTTAAAAAATGCTAACAGTTTTAATCGATTTGTTTATTAAATTTGTATAAATCTAAACTATAAGAGATTACATGTGTGTATGTTTTTTCAAGTTTAATGTATCAAGTGATGTTTTAAATAATCAATTTATATATTTATTTTACCTTCATACTATTTATCGACAAATAAGGTCTAAACTTATGGATACGATTATATGAAATACTTTTGGTGGCTAAAATATGATTTTTCAAGTTTTTTCAAGTTTAATGTATCAAGTGATGTTTTAAATAAGGTCTATAAGAGATTACATGTGTGTATGTTTTTTCAAGTTTAATGTATCAAGTGATGTTTTAAATAATCAATTTATATATTTATTTTACCTTCATACTATTTATCGACAAATAAGGTCTAAACTTATGGATACGATTATATGAAATACTTTTGGTGGCTAAAATATGATTTTTAAATTATGAGCAAAAATGATTGACAGCTGTGGGATTTGAACCCACGCCCTTTCGGACCAGAGCCTAAATCTGGCGCCTTAGACCACTCGGCCAAACTGTCCTCATATACAATCGTAGATTATAAAAAATTATGATTACAGATTAATTACCCGAGTTTTTCCAAATATGATTTCCTCGGGTGTCTTTTGAAGCGTGAACCTGAAAGCGCTTACGGTTTTGGGTATCTCTTTAACATAGTTGAAGCCAGGTAACTCCCGAGTTTTTCCAAATATGATTTCTCTAATCAATTCGAATATAGTCATGTATAATCTGTTGTTTATAACTTAGTCAATTGATTTGGATTTTGTTGATCGTGATTGATCCTACCATTGAATATTAGGGTTTATCTTATTGAGAAGAAGATTGTTGAATCAGGGTAAATCCCTAATCGCCTCCCCAGGTCGAGTTGCATTGTATGTAACTGTGTCTGTTTGACTGAAGGAATTTGTAGTTCTTGTCAATTTAGTTCGAGTTTGTTTTGGTGTAACTGGCTTCGAAATTTTAGCTGGAACGCCCAGAAGGTGTTTGATGTTTTGTCCATATGTAGTTCTGTTTGTTCGGGGTAGGATTAATAGTGATATCATCTCTCACATGTTTGTTTACCTCGTTGAAATGATCTAAACTGAGCATATTTGTCTTGAGCTCTTGCTCTAGGGTGTAATGGTTTTGATCTTCTTCTATGTCACGACTGACTTAAGAAATTAATACTTATCATATATGTGTTCATATTCTTTATGTTCTTCTTGCAGTACAGTATTAATAAAGCTTGGAGTTGAAATGGCGGCTACACCCATGTTGCCACCAAACTTAGGACCTGGAGATGGAAATGCTCCAGCAGCTCCGCTTCCACCAGGGACAGACATGACCGGAATATGCTTCAGGGATCAACTGTGGCTGAACACATACCCACTTGATCGCAATCTTGTCTTTGATTACTTTGCACTTTCTCCTTTCTATGATTACACATGCAACAATGAACAACTCAGGATGCGCTCAATTCATCCTTTAGACATCTCTCATCTTTCGTAAGTTTTTCTTTCCATTCAGTTTTCAATCCAAGTGCTATCTGTATAGAACGAGATTATGATTGAGTTTTTACATACAGTAAAATGACAGGAATTGAGTTCATGGTGAGTGAAGTTATGGAGCCCCACCTATTTGTGATGCGTAAGCAGAAGAGAGATGGTCCTGAAAAAGTCACTCCAATGCTTACATACTATGTGCTCGATGGCTCAATATACCAAGCACCACAACTTTGCAATGTCTTTGCAGCCCGAGTTGTATGTTCTCAACTCCCTCTTTTTTTTTTTTAGAATATAAATGTTTAATAATATATCTGTGTCCCATTTATACATACAGGGGAGAGCTTTGTATCATATATCAAAGGCTTTTACTACTGCAGCCTCAAAGTTGGAGAAGATTGGGCATGGTAAGCTAAGAATTTAAATAAGGCATTTTTTACCATATTTATTGTGATAATTTTCTAATTAATGTGTATGATCATGATGTATCAGACTCAGAGAATGAGAATGTGTCCCTTGAACCGAAGGCTGCTAAGGAGACTATTGACTTTAAGGAAGTCAAACGAGTAGATCATATTCTTGCCTCATTACAACGCAAGGTAAACCACACTCTTTTTATCTTTATTTTTCTGCATCACTATATCTGCTCTACTAGTGTCCACTTAGGCCTTTTTTTTTTATCCGTAAGGGGCTGTTTCTTTTTTCCCCTATTAAGTCATGTATGGATAAGGTGCTTCTTTTTTAGACTGAATGATCTTGTATGAATACGACCATTTTACCCTTTTGTTTAGAAATGATGGTGAATACTAACAAACCATACAAATATAAGAAAGTCACACTAAATCAAAGCATGAATGAAATAGGACTGTGAGTTTATGTCAAGTTAATAACTCAAACAATATACTGTCTTTCTATAGTTTCTTTATCTATTGTATCTCTCGTATTCATAAGTTGTAAAAAAAGTCTTAAAGAGGTTGTAGTAAAAGTGTAAAAAAACTAATTGGGGGGAGGGGGGATTTCTAAAAAAAAGTTTGTACCATATTTGTAACAATATTTAACGTTTGGACCAACATCGTAACAAAATTTAAAACCTAGGACAAAAGTGTAATATGACCTTCTAAACCTGGTATATTAGGTGGAAAAACAAAAACCAAAAGTTGGTTTCCTCTTTATAACATTTTTTGGGTTTGTTGGCAACTTGAAGAAATTTCCCAAAAGCAGTGTAAACCCATTATATAGTACTTCGCTCACTTCTTTTATAAAAGTCTGATCTAAATTATCTAATAATATTCATTAATTGATTATTTTTTTCTAAATTTCTTTTTTATTCATGATATTATCAATTTTAGTATAAAAAATCGATGCAGCTGTTGACTAGTTAAAGATATTTTAGATGTATATATTGAAAAATAACATGATTTTATAAACCATATAATTTATCAAACAAAGCAAAAAAAAAAAAAAAAAAGGAAAGGGCAATGTGGGGAAATTAAATGTGTGGCTTAATGGATTAACTTACCACATTTCTTGGATGATTTTATAAACTATAAAATGATTGTCTGATTGGGTAGATTTTGAGAGTAGGATGTTGTACTAACTAATAAGTATATATTGAAAGTATGATGGCATGATATAATAAATAATAAACAAATGAAGAAAAGTAAGTTGTTATTTTTTGTATTTAATTAACATCACTTGGATTACAGCTTCCACCTGCCCCTCAACCGCCTCCATTCCCGGAGGGTTACACACCGCCATCAACTGCAGAAGGAGACCAAGGCCCCCCTGAAACCGACCAACCAGACCCCAAACTTCCTCTCGTGGACCCCATCCTTGACCAAGGTCCCTCCAAGCGACAAAAATACACTTAATCAAATTGTTGTAATATATTCCCAACAGATTATTTATTTATTTATTTATTTATGGGTGTTTGAGTATTTGTTTAACTATGCATGCATGGATATTTTTCTCGTTAGTTTTGGTTAGTCAAAAAGTTAAAATGAGGTTAGTTGAGCTTGAGTCAAAATGGATAGAGACAGAGAGTTTAGGGTTTATCAATATATTTCTACATATCGTGCATCGTTGTTATAATCTAATGTAAAAGATATTGTTTTTAATGTTTAATATAACCAACTTGTTATAATTTTACCAGTCCATGTAATGATTTTACATTTACCATTTTATGTAATGTTTTATCTAAGATCATAACGACTAAAATATGTTGAGTAAATTAATAAGGAAATTGTACGTTTTTCTAATTAGCTTTAATTTTTTTTAATATTGATCAAAATAAGTGAGGTAGGAATAACTTTCTTTTTGTGTATATTTTATTTGAATTTTTTTGTCGGAAATCTTTAACAAACTTGGCATCTTTCACTATTTTATTTGAATTTTATAGTCACAAATCTTTAACAAACTTGGCATCTTTCACTTCACTTTTGGGACTAAAGTAATGAAAGTAGGATTGCACCTTTTTAGAAAATTGGCCTGAATAGGAACCGAACGATCTAGACGTCAATTTTGTAACATCATCCTTTATCAAGTACCAAAAACTTTTTAAAAACTCAAAAGTAAACCAGTTTGGACCCGCATCTTTATCAGACTTGCAATGCCAAACATCTCGTTTGATCAATGGACAACCGTTTTGGAAAGAGTAAACTACTGAAATCGTGGTTATGGTTTATTTAAAATTGCATGTTTGGTCCTTAATATTGTTTTTGCATTCTGATCGTCCCTGTGCTTTGATTTTGTTGCATTTTTCATCCCATGGTTTGGTAAAAATTACACATTTGGTCCTTACATTTATGTATGTAAGGAACGAAAAACGCAACAAAATCAAATCATAAGAATGATCCGATTGCAAAAAAAATTAAAGACCAAACGTGGAATTTTAAAAAAACCATAAAGATGATTTCAATAATTTACTCTCTTGAAAATTTAGCCACAACATATAGGGCCGAGAGCAAAACAAGTAATGTTAGCCTAATAAGTTTATTGGGTTCTTTTTGGTTGGCCTATGTTAGCCATTTAGTTAGTTTAAACTAATTAGTTTCATATATATATATATATATATATATATATATATATATATATATATATATATATATATATATATATATATATATATATATATATGTTTTTCCTTTTTGTTTGTATTTATACATTTTTATTATTCAATAATAAAACTTTAATAGTATTTTGTTTGTTGGTTTACATGTTATCAGATCTATATTCTATCCGTCGTTTATGGTTGTTGGGAATGATTTATACGTGAGACCGTATCATTCTGCAGATCAATTTTCTGATCTGTTTATGTATTCTATTTGGTTTTTATTTTATTTTATTTAAAGGGTTTTGATTGTTGTTGTTTCATCAAATTCCGTACCACTTTTGTATTTTGCACTGTGAAATACCTTTTTTTTTCGTCGATTTCTCGCCGCGGTAACACACCACCGCCACAAAAATAACATTTTTTCGTCGGTATCTCGCACTAATTATTATAACTGCATCACGATTTTCTTCAGAACACAGTTTTTTGATAAAATTCTCTGATTGTTATTGCAATATGGCTCCAAAAAGATGACTCTCTTCTGTCCATTAATACCCAACTTGATGACAAGAATCATGCTTAGTGGAATTATATTATAAAGATTTTTTTTGCAAGGAAATAACATGTGGGGAATTGTAGCAGGTACACTAAGCAAACCAACATATGTGAAGGCTGTAAATTATGCAACCTTATTGGAATCATGAGAGACTAATAACTCCAAAAGCATCACTTGGATTAACAATTGTAATTCAGTCTATTGGTAGACAATTGACAAAATATGTCACAACAAATGAAGTTTGTGATCACTTGGTTAGACTGTACACACAGTCTAATTTTGCAAAACAGTATCAGTTAGAGTTTGATATTTGAGTCACCTAACAGAATAATCTAAGTATTCAAGAGTTTATGCTTCTATATCTGATTTGTAGGATCAGTTGACTCTTATTGAGCCGGATGCAACCTTACATTACCGAAAGGGATGACCATCATTTTGTTTAGTTTTTGATGGCTTACATGGATCTATCTTGCAACGCACAACTCTACCCATTGTTGATTTGGTTGTTCATGAGTTAATTGTTGAAGAAACTCCCATCAAGTTACATGTTGAAAATGACTCTAAGTCTGTCGCTACTCTAGTTGTCATTGTTGTTCCTCAATGGCCTTAGACCTCTAATCATAATCGCCTTAAAGTTGCCTTTGGTGAGCGTGCTTTCTGCTGCAAGGAAAACCATTGGACATCTCAGTGCCCTTTGTTGTTAAGCAAGGGAAATCAACAACAACACTAAACTAGACCATCTAGATAGTTTCAGCCTCCTCAGCAAAATCGATCTTCTGGACAATTTTCGCCACACCCCTCTCTTCCATATTTTTGTCCACCACATGGTTCACTTCTGCAGCTGCACCTTTGATAAAGGATGAAACAATTGTTACACTACCACCACTGTTGGATCCTCAGGTTGTTGAAAAGTTCATACATATCATTTCCTCAAATCATATTGCCATGTTATCATCCATGTCTTACTCATGTCTGTCTTCATCTAGTACTTCAACTATACCTTCATCCTCGTGGATATTGGATTTTGGTGCATCTTGTAACGCCCACAAATTCGGACTAGATATTTAAGAGATAATAATAGATAATTAAAATCCTAAAATAGGGTAATCGTTGGTCATGCGTGTTACATACTTTATAACTATTTATTATGTACACATCATGAGGGAAAATATTAAGTAAATAATCTTTTGATAGAAGATTATTTTGGATAAATAACATTTTTGATAGAAGATTATTTTAGATAAATAATATTGATAAGAGTTGTAGTAGTCGTGAGAAAGATGCGAAATTCGTAGCCTAAGTAATCTAAACGAAATTCGTAGTAATTGTAAAAGCGAGAACTTACATGTGAAGAACGTTCAAATTTGACTTTCTATGAGGAAGTTATGATTTTCAAAGTTTCAACTTAATAGTGTGGACACAAAAATCTAAATTTCAATCGGTTGAGTGTTAGCTAAAACTATGTAAATGAGAGTTGAAGATCTTGTAAATATGAACTTGTGGATATAAAGACAGTCAAGAATGGAGTTCGTATGAAAGAGTTCTGATTTTTATACGGGTTTTAACAGTCTTAGCACTTTAAAAATATAAAATTAAAAATAAATTAAGAATTAGATGATGGAGTGTAAGGCTGTGTTTGGCGCGCCATAACTAGCTGATAGGCTAACTTATTTTTCGAGTTTTTTTATATTGTCGTGTTTGGTAAACCAAAAAGTAGCTTATAAGCTAACTTTTTGAAAAACTACTTAGACCAACTTATTAGAAGTTTGTTTAAAATTTTCCAAATACACCAATTAATTAATTATAGAAACACATACTCTTACATGTCCTTTTATGTAATTTTATATATTTTAGCTAGTTTTACCAAACGTTATTTTTTTATCAGCTAGCTTTTCAGTTAACATTTAGCTTTTAAGCTAGTACGCCAAACATAACCTAAATGAAAGTTTTAGTATTCGTCGATAGCTACACGTAAATATAAAGTACGACAAAAACGAAGCCTGTATGAGTAAGATACGATTTTTAGAAGGAAAATAAAAATTTGCACACATGGCAGAGGCACGACGCACATATCTTCTAGAAGTGGGGGGGGGGGGATGCAGACCCTTTTGCACCTAACATGACGCGACACACCTTCTAATTTTTTTTGTTTGTGTGTGTGTGTGTGTGTGTGTATATATATATATATATATATATATATATATATATATATATCAATCAACTTATTTTGCCCTCATTCATCACACCTTCAAGTCTCTTTCTCTCTTAGACGTTTTCCCCATCCTGGAATCTGACTTTTTCTAGACTTCTGAGCATTTTAGTGGAACTCTATAGTATCTAGGGGTCTGACGAAGAGAAGCTTTCGGGTTAAATTCATGCCTAAGACTAACCCAATTTTCGCTAATAAATCTGTAAGTTAAGCTACATTTGTTATGTTTTAAGTGTAACTTATGTTTAAGTTCATTATCATTATTATGAATCTATAAACAATATTTATTAGTGATCCCATGTCATAATACTTATTGGTCTACTTATAGGAGTTATATCTAGGCTAGATCTAGTGAGGTAATTTAAGTAAGATTTCCGAACAGTATACTTTGTATACCAAACGGACCCTACCTTCAATATGATTTTACCTAGTTATTCTTTATTTGATAAATCTTGATGTATTCATTGGGATTGTTAAGGAATCTAGGAAATAATGTAATTACGAACGAATACTGAAGCATAATGATATTTGTATTTAGGATGTTGGAAGAGATAAGGTGAAGAGATAACAGATGTAACATCTAATTTTTCAGGTATTCGCTTTTGACCCTTGAGTTAAGATTTGTTTGCAAGATTGGTACCCAATGGCATTTTCATAATAAGTGGGTGCAACATGAGTACGTTGGGCGTACCTAGCCCCATATATGTATGCTGAGAGTACACTGGTACACAAGGCGTACACAATTTGTACCAAACCCCAATATTTAGTGTTTGTGTACTATATAAGAACCATTATAGTTCCAAAATCCTTCCTTTTATCAGCCTCCATCCCAAAAACCGACCTCCTTGCAAACCCTAATCTACTTTGAGCATTTTGAGCTTTTGAGTGAATTGTGGGCTTTCTTGATTATGAAGGAAGATCATCAAGGAAGTGGCTTTGCTCTCAAGCCTTTGGATCCAACATTTTCTCTTCATTGTGTACCATTTGGAGGTATAACGCTCCAAAATTGGCTCATGTTTTTCTAACTTGGTTGGGCTTAGAATTTCTTCTTTTTTGTCCTAAAACCTAAATCTTTGTGAGTGTGAGGTACTCTAAAGTCTTTAAGTTGTCTATTTAGACATTTTAGGGCATTTTAAATCATAAAAATGTAAGCTTGGATATTGATTTATCCCCATGCAAGAGTTATGGTGTAGAAAAGGATGGATCAAGTTAGGTTCTTAGTGTTGGGGTCCTTGTAGCCATGCAAAGGCATAAAATTTGCAACTTTATAGCCTTAGAGGCCTTAATAAGCTCATATATGAAGTTTGGATG